AGGATTGATTCATATTAGTATGCTGGAGATCTGTATAATTTTCTCCCTTACAGCTACCCCACATCTGTGACTTTTTCCCAAAAATTATTTAATTTTATTCTTGCTTCATAGTTTTATTTACAAAAACAAACCTTGTTTGTTGTTCTGTATTTTTCCCAGTTTCAGTAAAAATACAGCCATCCAAGAAGCTCCTTGTCTACTGGTGAAACATATGCAAGATAAGTGAAGGAAATGAAAGGTGAGGGAATATTTTTCTTTAATTCAGGTGAAATTCAAAGGTGATAATTTCAGATCTGAACTTAAGCTTCCTCTTTATTTCCTGATATGTTCTAGAAGTTATATTGCACATATGGAGCTGTTCCTAAAAATACCAAATTGAGACCTACTTGCAGAACTAGTGACTTTGTTGACATGATGAAGAAACATTACAGTGCAACTTCAGAAATCTAAAAATAGTGAATTAGAATCTTTACCATCAGGTTAAAAGTTCACCCAAAGGTACAAGGGAAAGAAATACAAAATGAGGAAGTTAAATACGATCTAAGTATTGCATCCTGTCTGTTGGAAACAGAGAAAGTTCTTACTCATTTGATCAAAGTTTTTATATACAGTTCTTTTACTGTAACAGATCATCAAATGATGAGCTCCTGGCAAAATCAGGAGATGGATAACTTTGTACAACTCACAGACTGTTCTGTCCCTAGTTATTCATGTAATCCATCTGCAGCTCAGATCTTCCTTTCCCAGCCTGTTTTTCAGCCTGCAGGTTGTAGAAAGTATTTTACTGCTACACAAAAAGTGCCAAAAACGGGGCGGCAAAAACGGGTGCAGTAGTGTATTACAAACCTACAAACAATAAAAATATTTACATTAGTAGGATTATAAAACCCTTAGGGAACAGTTCTAGCTGCATCTTCAGATTTGCGTGTCCTGTGCTACATTAGTTCTGTCATCTTCCGGCACTGTTAAATAGCAAAGAATTTACTGATTTTTGGGGGGAAAACATCTATTTGCTACTTTGGCCTGGCAATGACAAGAAGATTTTGGTGGGAACAAGGTAGAATCTAAAGAGCTTCAGATAAAGGTTGCAGGTAAACACTGTGCATCCAGGCACCACAACAGAAGCAGTGACAGGAATGCACCAAGTGAAATATTTAACAAACAACATAGGATCACATTTTGAGTTATTAGGCAAACCTAATTAAGTCACACTGAAATTACAAACAGTTATGTGAAAAAGTAATAAAGAAATGACAGCAAAAGTGGGAAAGATGCACTGTGGACTCCATACGATTCCAGTAGCACCTACATTTTACAACCCAACACATTAAGACAGACAGCTACTTTAAGGTTGATTTACAGCAAGCCTACAGCCCATCTGCTTTGGAGAGCCAAGACACTAAAGATAATTTCAAGATTAAAAGAAAGATAAACATTGATCAGGGACGTAGTTTTCTCTTTTAACCTGGTGAAAATTTTTTGCATCTCATCTGCTAAATGGTAAATAAAATAAAGTAGATTAAAGTAACTTGTTAATTTAGTTCCAAAATGATTTAAGCTATCAGGTCAGTATTCCATAGAAGAAAATTCAGTTTTACCAAGATTCATTTTATTATTATTGAGTAAAACTCTGTAGTGGTTCTTCAGGTGAGAGAAAAAAGTGACCTATTAAGTTAGTAACTGCACTAGGGGTTTCTGAAAAGACCTGTGCTAGTGCAGAACTACACTGTCCTCAGGGATAGCTTGAGAAGTACTGTCTCTCAAATAGATCTCTCTGAATCATAATTTTCTTCTTGTTGGCTTGATATTGAGGGAAAACATTAACAAATCTGGTGTCAGGAGTTTTTTGTTTCTACAAATCATTTTAGTCCAAAAATGCTGACGCTATCAAGCCAAAACTTTTTGCAAGAATGACAGTTCTGACAAATTTCTCAGACTTTTTCTGTAAAAAACATTTCAATTTGGGAATCACACTAATTATAGCAACTGTGAGAGTGTCAAAAATGAATGGCAATGTTCTTGGACAGCTGAAGCAAGACAGACTTGAGGAGATTTATTTTGTTTTCAATCCCAGTTTTTTTTCTGAAATTTCAGACTTTCATTCTGATTTGAGGAATTGTTTGAGGTTTGATACTGACTTCTCTGTCCAGGAGGTGATAATTTTAGGAACTTCAAGGGAGGTATGATGTGGGGAACAAGAAAGGGAGATTTGCTGAAAATGAGTCAGGTGAAAGTCCACCTGACTTACCATATGTGGGTTTCCAGACTAAATGTACGTTCTACGTGTTGTCACACACTAGTTAGAAAATTTGCAAAGCAAAACTGCTTTTGTCATGTCAGAACCATATCAGATTATGCATTTTACTGTTTTTCTGCACCTGTTTCTACAGAGGGGTCAGTCATGTTTTTCTTTATTTATATGTAATGGAAAGGACAGTGTCAGCTGCACAGAATATATATACAAAACTGGTTTAAGGTACAGGATCATGAAATCTGCTGTGGTCAAACTGCAAATAAAAATTGACAGCAGCTTTTAAGGTTCATCTTTCAATTTAACCACAGAAATTTATTCTTCCCTTTCTATTTCTTTTTGAAAAAAGAATTTCACTGGAAATGCACTCACTTGAAATAAGGTAGGAAAACTTTTGTGTTTTCAATCAACAGCAGAACCCAATTTATTCTAGACATCACCTTTCTGGCTACAATATTAGATATTAATCATCTTAAATAGAAAAGCTGCATAATTTTGAACCACTGTCCACTACAATATAATTTTAAAGACAGATGAGACACTGCAATTTAGCTCTGGACCTCACCTTTCTTGCCTGTAAGAAGGCTGTTGTGCATTCTGGATATAAATTCATTTAGTGAAGAAGAGACATATGAAAACTCTGTTGAATAAAGTTACCGTTCTCCAGACTAAATACCTGTTATAGACAACCCCAAGGTTTTATCACTGTAAAATAAGCATGCAGATATAGTTAATATTTTTTTTTCTCTTATTTAACATTATGAGGGTCAAAATATAGTGTGGAAGCTCATTTTCATGCTCTTCAAACTGAGACACCAAATATGGAAACTCTACACTACTATCCCCAAATTACAAACCTTGCAGATTTGGATATTAATCAATATATGAACAGTAAAGCAGCTACTGTTGGTGTTGGAAAAGAACCAGCTCGCAAAAAAAAAAAAACGTCTGCACCACAAAATGCTTAATAACAAGAAAGACTTATAAACCTTCATTCATAGTTATCAAATCACTGTAAAAATGTTGGCTTAAAAAGTCCCAAAGAACCGTTAATTTAACCTCCAGGTGCTTCTCAAATGTTCACTTTCTTTGGTATTTCATGTTTCCCTATTTATTCACTAGCTATTCCCCAGCTTAGAAAAAAACCCATATATACATCTTTGCCAATTAAGAAACTTATTTGAAAAATTGCTCACCAGAAAAGATTTTTGCCTAAAATCAGATTAGTCAGGTACTAAGTAATCTGCCTGCATAACCATAGAGAAACAGTCATTTTATTGTCAGTCTTGCTTAAATAGAGTTTATTAAAGAGCCAAGAATTGAGGAAAAGCACTCTGTTTTAATAAGGTCATGATGCTTCTTAAATAATTTGCATACTGAAGGTGAAATTCTTTATATGGTAAAAAGTACATCCCTTGACAAACAAGGGTTTCAAGAATGGTAAACAAAACACATTTATATGTACTTTTTGACACTTGTAATTGTTCACCTATACTTCACATTCACACCCACTCATCAGGAGGGAATGACTGTTTTAAATTAAACCCCATTTATCCCTTTCAATTTGCTTCTAACAAATAAATACATCTATATGTATAGTGATTATCTAAGTAAGTAACGAAGATGTGCCACAGCCTAAAATTGTAATCATCAGCACAGGATGTTAGTTAGAGAGAGAGGGGAAGATGATGACAGTGAGTTAGGATTGTTTCTACTCAAAATAATAACTTAAATAGAAAATTAAAAGGGTCATTACACAGTCTGATACAGATTTCAAGTTTGTAACCCTGCAAGGAACTTCTATGAGATCAGTCCACCAGACATTCGAATTTGGCTGGCCAAACATCATCTTTAGGTTGTGAGGGATCTCTGTGCCCTTTTCCCTAGATTAATTCTTCTACTTCTATCATTATTTCCTTGTATACCAATTAATACTGAAGCCTGTTATAAGGAAAATGTGATGTGCAAAACAGATTCTGATGATTTCACAACTCACCTTGTATCCAGACTTTCACACACAGAAAGATAACATAAGAACATGAGCTGTCAATATCTTCCATTTACAGTACATTTACAGACAACTTTTAAAATAAGATTTTGGAGTTTGACTTTTCAAAATATTTTTCCTCCTTAGGACTGTTATTGACTAATATATCAAAGAATACAGTTTTTCTAATGATGCATCAATGCAATAAATCAATACAAATGTACTAACATCCTGATGATATATTACTCAATAACATGGTAGCAGGTGGCAAAAACTTCCACTGAATTAGATGATGTAAGTTTTATCCCGTTTGTTTCATTTACATAGTCAGCAATAAGAAGAGATGTTAACAGGCTGACAAAGCAAGGTCACACACAAATAGTTATTAATTGTCTTAACAGAAAATGACAACTGTGGTATCTTAGTTTGGAAAGACAGATGTTACTTTTCAACTTTGCAACAGTTTCTAAAAAAAAAAAAAAAAAAAAAAAAAAAGAAAAAAAAGAGAAATCCCTGTATCATAATTCCATATCATTCTTCTTTCTGATTTACTATTACACATCTAGTTATTCAGTTTAGCAACTTAAACAGAGCTGCAAGTGGTAAGCAAGCCCCATGATTGCCACTGCCATTTGCAGCTTTCATTCAAGACATGGCCCATTTGCCCAGTTGGTGATTACTGGGAACATGTGGGTTTACTTACCCTAAGTCACATCCCTTGGCTGCAGTTCCTTAACTTGGCATCACCAACAGAAACAACCCCCAAATGTCCTCTTCTCCTGGCAGACTGCAGTGCTTCCTAAACAAGACACATGACAAAGTGTAAAACACAACAAAGGCTTTTTCAAATTTTATTTTATTTAGACATTATTTTTGCCTTGCAAGAGAGACTTGATTAGTTTCGTTCAAAGTCTTTGCACCACCACTGCGTTGATAGAAGGAGCACGTCCTTTAAGCAGCTCCTGCTGCTGACTACTCACTCATCTTTACTTCCTTTGCCAGGCCCAAGGTCTCTTAATGGTTTATTAACTCTTTGATGCTTGTCTCAGCCTAGGAAAGATTAAACCACCAAGTTCATCTGGTGAGAGAAGAGTGAAGTCTCTCTATTCACTAGCCTGCCCACTCCTGCCCTCATCTCTGCCACTGTATTTGAGCTTTCTGTTTCTGTATTCCCTGTCTCCATTTACCACAATGACATTATTCAATTAAACACCATGAAGCCAGGAAAAATAAACCGAAAACTATACCTTATATTCACATACTGATCACTCTTTCTGCTAGTTTTGAAGAAAATAAATAACTTGAATTAGCGCTTAATCTTAAAGCAAAGCAGCTCTGTCTGGATGTTATACCACATTTTGCAACTTGAAAAAAAGGCACTTCCACAGCCACATACTGTTAGGTTGGATACCATGTGGATTATAGCATATCTCTGAAAAGATAAATCGGTTACACAGATTACAAAGAAGAGATAAAGATGCAAAGAAATGAAAAGGCTGATAAATCAAAGACAGGTTGGCGGTTCATGAAGAAGAGGAGTTGTGAAAGTCTACTGAAATTTTCCAAGGAGGAGTATGGCATATTCATGGAGGAAGTTGAAACGTGAGCAGCCATCAAAAAGAGTGGAGAGGATGGATAATTTGGGCAGACCATGGATGTTCCTGTGAAACACTTCTAGTCTGAAGCGGTGACCAGCTGTATAAAAACAGACATCAGAGGCAGCTGAAGTTGTAAACTACGTGCACTGAAAAAAATTATATAAAGATACATAAGATTTGAGGATTTAGAAGGACTTCTTATTGAGGCACTTAATAGGTAGAAGAGCTTCTGATGTCAAAGGAGAAACAAAAAGTTAGGCTGCATTACAACGGCTCTTTTCAAACAGATTGTTTTGATGTGATCCAGACCTGACTACATGGGATGATGTTTATAGAAAAATCCATTTGTAACAGCAATATCTTCATGGTTGAATGAATGAAAAGGTATTTTCTGTACTTAAATGAAACTGGGATGTAGTACAATGTAACAGGAAAGCTCCGTTCTGCAGATGCCTTTAAAATAGAAAAATAAAAGAAATAAAAAGAGCACAAGGGGCAACAACCTTTGCCTATGAGTCTTTTTGATTTCTGTATTTTCATTTTGTTTACTGCTATGGAAAATTATCCTGTGCCAGATTTTATAGCTGTGGTATCCATGAATCAGAAATATAGGCTTATTGAAAACTGTCAAGTGCAGCACAGAAGACTTGGATTTCATTCAAAAAGCAATCTAATCACGGTGCTCAGATAAAAAGCCAAAATCATGAGATCAAAAGACAGGCACATTCAATGATGAACACAAGTTAAATGAATGTCTCAATTGAAAATAAAGACCTGGAACCATATTCTAGAGCTAGAGATGGAGCAGGCCAGAAATACTTTACAGAATATCCACCCACACAGGAAACCAAAGGAAAAAAAATGATGTCATCTAAGATGTACCTCAAGCCGCACCATGTAGACATCAGTTGATCCATGTCTCTGCAGGCTGCTAAAACAACACTTCTTCAGAAGCCAATGCCACAACCCAAATTTGGAGGCAGCATGACTAGTGACTGCAGGCATATCAGAGAGAGGAAAAAAGCTAAACCAGAAGCCCAATGTCATCATACAATGTGCTTCACAGTTCTGCTCGCTTGTTCCATCACCTATTACCAGTGAATTGTAGCAAGCCTGGTCAGAGAAGGACAGAAATGCCAGCCTCACAGGCCTGAAGCAAGAGCCAAGTTTCAGAGCTTTATTTCTCATGCTGAAAAAAGATTTGTCTACAAACATCTCATGTCACACAAAATCCAAAGAGGTAACTGAATTCTAAGAGTTCACACTGCTCTTCCTGCACCCAATCCCTACATTGCCTTTTTGTCTTTCCTTCCCATTTTCTGACATTCCCATTACTGCTGATCATTGCTCACACTCCAGAAAGGACAGCTGAATTGCTCAGGAAAAGACAACATCTCCTGTAATTTATACGGATTAGATTTCTTTAAAATTTTAGAAGACATATCAGTGTTATTAATTGGAACGGTGTATTTATCAAATCAATTCCAAGGTGACTGCAAGTGCTTTGTGATCTTACTTCAAGAAACATGTGTTGGTATTTAGTGAGACTGTATTTTCCAGTTGATGAAGAACAGTAATTTGGGAGGAGTAGTCTAAGCAGCAATTTATTCAAGTCATTGCAAATACTCATTAAATAAAGACTTTACAGTCTGACAGATTGAGGAAATGGAGGTTCTTAGCATAAAAGATAAACATATAAAGTAGAGAAATAAAATAAGAGATCTACTTAATTTCTTTGATCATTTCTAGTGATAGCGTGCTTGGATGTTAATCCATCTTTCTCAATTACTAGTAGTCTCTATATTACTTGGAAAACAACCTGTGGCCTTTCTATTGAAAGAGATTTATTTAGAGGCCTCTTCTAGAAGACAAGGTAAGTGGTGGATACCTATTCTTCAAGTGTAAGTCATTTCTACTCCATGCAGAAGACAAGAGAAGTTGGAATGAGGCAGTAGTATTAATCAGATCTGGATTATGTTTATTTTTTGAGGATATGAGGACTCATAAAGGCTGCTATTAGAGAATTTTCGGAGTATTTGCAGGAGCAAACAAGCAGTTTATAAGTGTATTTAACTGATAAATAACAGCAACTTTATGGGACCTGCCATCCTAGACTCAGTATGTGGGTCACCATTGATGCAAAAATAAACACTCTACCTGAGCACAAGAAAGATTGTATTTTGCCCGGGCTAAAAATGTTTTGTGGCTGAGGTATAACTAAATCGTATTTTAACCATGTTAACCTAATCATCCCTGTTTTTATGACTAAAATGTAACTTGACTCAGGGGCAGTGTTATAACATGGTACCCATCTACTCTAATAGACTAAATCACATTATCCGTTTCAAGCGATGACAGGGCTGTAACTGGATTTTGTACTACAGAAGAACCCCAAATGTTAAATAGGTATTAAAGGGAAAAATGTTTGTGTGAACATAAATACAAAATGGCATCACTTGATGAATAGCATAGATTTACTATTGAGAAAAAGAAAATTTCTTTAGTCCCTTTAACGTACTTATTATTCAAAAGGAAAAAAAAAGTGGTGGTCCATCAGATGAGTCCTCTTTATACTTTTAAAAAAGCTGCATATGCTATACAGGTATAAAGCAGAAAAATATGAATTTCCATGGATAAATTAAAATATTCTTGTATTTAGGCAAAGCCAGAGGTACTGGCAAATAGCAAAATGATAGAAAATAAACATCTATAGGAAAAAGTTACTGGGTCAGCATGCAGGAATTATGTTATATACAAATGGGGCAGAGGCCTTCAGTTTCCAGAACAACTACCTCTAATGATAACACAAAAATAGTATCACACCACAGAACCACCAGATACACAGTGATTGAGTAGATTTGGTTTATGGGTGGATACAGACAGCCCAGCATTGGCAAAAGCAAGGCAATAATCTGGGAACCAAAAATAAACATAGAAATCATTGTTGAATACAGAAATCATATGGGAGATCTTGTGGTGATTGCAAATAATAAAACCATCTGTCCAGTAGTAAGCAGCACTATGCCGGGCAAACAAGGGAATGGAGCATAAATCATAGAAAGACACCCTGGCAGTGAGAAAGATGCTACTGAAAGCTCATCTGGAAAATTATGTGCAATTCTGATTACCACATAAAGTCATTGCAGAAATCAAGCAGGTGCAGGTCAGAGCTATCAATTCACAGAGAATTTGGGGGAGTTCTGTCTGGGCAGACAGATTTGCCAGACTTAGTCTCTCAATCTTAGAATAATGGAAACTAAGTGGAATTTTTTGCCAACATTTATGAGACCTTGATGCCAGTAGGAATTTTTAAAAGCAACCAATTAAACCTATGCATCCCAAGAGGCGAAAGACAAGAGCAGAAAGGAACAGCATTTGCAGATATTAAAAGGTATCCTTACACAAAGGTTGATCTTAGACCTTTACAGAGATCTTTCTCCCATTTTATTTAGGCTCCTAGAATATATTTCCAACAGTATTCTCATACCAAAAATGTATGGGACTATACATAGAAATAGGCGTGTAGAGAGATGGATTACCAGAGATAGAGAGCTTTCTGGGGACTGAACATCCATCTTACTTTGTTTTATATTTAAAAAGCAGCTCATACCAATGAGAAACCCAGAACTGGATCTTCTACTACTGCACACTCTTCCTGGTTTCAGTAACTTATTAAGAGTTGTACCAGTGTCCATACCCCTAATGTCCTCTTGATGACGGGCCAACAGTAGACAGAGGTGGAAGAATACAGAACACAATAATCTTATTCTATGGTTTACATACTAGATTAATAGATGATAGGATTGGGATGAATTTTGGCAGAGATAAGGATTACAGTGTCTGCATTCCAAACAGCATAGATTTCACACAAGATGCACTCCAAATCTTCTTAAACTTTAATGAAAAAAAAGGAACTTATGTGCACATACTACTGCTGCAAGCTTGAAGTGTATTTCTCCTCAGGTTTTCTGGAATTCTAAGGTTGAATCATTAGTTTCTTTCAATTTCTTGCTTCATTCTATTTCCAGCAAAGGTTGTGGCCTTGGAACAGCCAGAGACCTTGGAATTGATTATCTCTGGTAAGAACACTTAATCAATTTTACCCATCACATTTGAAATCTGTTTTCATCTGCATGCTTAACAATGACTTCACAGTTTCAACAATACATACAAAATAAAAATTAGGATGCACAACTATAAA